AAACTGCAGAGGTGCAAGACTGTGCTAAAAGTTGCTTTTTACAGCCATTTACATAACACTACCAGAGAATAATATAGTTTCAACGCCAAGATCATTGATGCTTCTCCAAATCAATAGGAAACTATCGTCCTATTGATATTCCTCACAACGATGAAGGAAATAGTCTCAATTGCTAAACTTTCACAAAATGCTAAGAGGCACACCTTATTTCTGTATGCTTAACTGGTGGTGGGGTGGGGAGCGCAACTAACGACGTTCTACTTACTGACTATGGAGAAATACCTCTGCCAAATTTGTTGTGTAATTTTGCTTATACTGTACTACAAATGACAGACACGAAATTCGCCTTACCCCTCGCTCATTCTCTAGCACCAATGCTAAAAAGCATTTTAAAAGCCGAAAGATACATGAGAAAGCAAGGAGACTGAAAAAACCCAGACTGGTACCCTGTGCCCAAAGACCTGAGCACGGTCTGCTCCTTAGGGCGCCTGACAAGAGGCTACCGTTACCAAGTGTCGACAGTCACTACATTGTATTTAGCCCACTAATAACCCCGATAGTTTGAAACTAAAGGGCGCCGGACCAGGCGAAGGCAGAAAACACTCCTCGGGCCGTTTCGTCCGATGTTATTCTCCCTGCCCCTCGTTTCCCCGTGGAAAGTCTGAGCAGCCTCTCGAAGACAGCCACACAGGCAGGGCACTGCGATGAGGGGTGAGGGGGTGCGGGCCCAGGTTAAGCAGGGAAACGCATTCACTCCGTCACGCAGGTCCTGCACACAGGCAGAAACCGGGAGGCTTCGGGGCCTGACGCCTCCCTCTGCCATGCGCCCCGCGGGCCTCGGCTCTCCGCCGCGACGGGGACCCCTCCCTGCCGAGGCCCCCCAGCTACGAGAAGCGATCCTGACTCGGCCAGCCCACCCGGAAGCCCTCCCCCAGCTCACACCTGCAGGCGCGTGACGCCCAGAGCCGCGCGCGCCCGCCCGCCCGCCCGTCCCGGCCCTGCCATCCCCGGCGCCCCTTCCCCGCGCGCCAGACGTCGCCCGCGTCTCTCCCCGGCCCGGGGTCAAACCCACCAGACGCCCGCCCCCACGGAGCACGCGCTCAACGCCACCGCCCCTCCGGGCCCCGCGCGCGCTCACGCCCCTCCCGGCCCTCTCCCCGCCGCGCGCGCTCACTCGCGAGGACACGCACACTCTGCGCCTCAGCTTGACAGGCCGGCCCGTACCGCGCGCTCCCGCGGGCGTCCTCGCCCACCCGGCGCCCCGTTCTGACTGGCGGTGCGCGGGGGAGGGGAAGGGAGGCAGTGGCCGTCGGTCCTCACTCACCGCCGAGCCGCGCGGGATCCGAGTGCGCGGCGTTCCACTGTGAGGCGATGCGCTGCGCTGCGATGCGCGCGGTCCCCGCTTCTCCGCAGGCTACGGAGGCGACGTAGTAGGGGAACTGAAGGGCTCGCGGGTCAGTCCCTCCCGCTTCACCTCCTAGGAACACGGGGACCCCAGAAACTAAAAACAAAATAAACAAACTTTCCCCTCCGCCTCCCTCCCCCAAAACCACAACACAAACACTCGTGGGCCCGCCCACAGCCCCACTCCATTGGCCGCAGGGAGGGTGCCTCCAGTTCTCACTGGCTGGCTTTTGTGCTTGTCAAGCTGCTGCTCCGCCCCTCCAATTTCTCCCCGCTGGTGTCGCCCCTCATTGGTCAAGTGCTTCCCGTTTGACGAGCTAGGATTGGCTGAACTGCCTGCGCCAATCATTCGGGGACACACCCCCTCAGCATCCCAGAGGCCGCTTCCTCGGTCGCGGACCGAGGTAGGCGAAGGGGAAACTAGAACATGATGGCGGCCGAGCTCGCCTGGCGTAACCATCGTCTATTTTCTTTTTTTAGCTCATTAATTTCTCGTCCTCGCGTTGTATCCCCTAAGCTCCTCTCTCCATCCAGTACATTCTAATAACGGGATGTATACGTGCCGGCTCCTTGATTTATCGCCTCCGAAGTGCTGAGTGTTGGCTGGTTGTGCGTCATTGGACTGTCAGAATGTCACTCCTTAGTCAAATGTTCAAACTATTGGTGGAACAGCAAGAATGCCTTCCAACAACAAGACCCAATGCCATTGGTTTGACTCCACTGAGTTCTTTCCTAGTACTTAATTGGACAAACAGGCGCATCAGTCAAATCTGAATTAGCTGTGCTACAGTTAATTGTTTGCTAAAGAGTTTGGGTGGCTGGTCTTTTGACCTGTAGCTGTCGGTAATAATGACAACCACTTATTGCGTGCCCATTTTGTGGCAACTACTGTGCTGAGTTCTTTACAAGGATTATCTGGTTAAACCTGTGAATTTTACATTCTCTAAATTTTATAGGTAGGAAACTAAGGCACCAGAGAGGTTGGGAAACTTGCCCAAGGTCACCCAGACAGAAAGAGTTAGTGGACCTGGCATTCGGTCCTAGGTCTATCTGACTCCAGAGTCTTTTCTGTTTTGAGTGCCTCTCCTTTTTTTAATGCCTTCTCCAAAATCGTACTGTTAGCCAATCCAACATATTAAAAACATTTCATTCAGAACTCATGTTTCTCAATCAGTTTCAAGTGGTGACATTGTTTGGGGCTAAAGCTATGGAGAGGTTATCATTGTCTCCACTGCATCTTTCCCACCCTAAAATAATCTTGGTGCTTCCTGACAGAAGTCCACCTATCGGTATGTTCATTTTTTCAGCTTTACGAACGGACATTTCTACCATCTTTGTGTGTCAAGCCTATCTCCTCAACCCCTGCAGCAATCTTCAAGAGCTGGAAACAAGGAGAAAGAGGTCTAAAGAGAGGTGAAAAATAAGTCACTTTAGAAATAAATAATTGATTGCGTGCAAAGGGAACAGCCCTTTGGCTCCTGGAAAGCTCCCAAAGCCACCCTCGATGCCGAGCAAGACCTGCGCTCCTGGCTGATGGCCATTGCATCTTTCTCTGTGGCAGCTTTCGGTGAAGTGAATCTAACATCCCAGACAGGGGAGGGCAGGATGCTTAGGACCCACTGCCAGAGTGCCAGCCCCAGCCTCTGGGACTGAAATGATCTCTAGGAGCACAGTGCTGGACTCTAGCCTGCATTCCATCCTGTGTAATTAACATTTTACCATCCCAAATCCCCGTCCCCTGTAGCTTCAGTGGGATCACCACCCTGGTTTCGCTTCCTGATCCAAGCTGCTGTGTAACCTTGTTGGCACTGCTTTAATAATAAAACAACCACTGTAACACAGTAATAATGCTCAACACTTATAGCCTTTCAGCAGAGGAAGACAAAGCATTTCACAAACATCAATTAAGATTGAGTGATAGGTATTCCTAGGGCAACTGACAGTAGAAAATCATGACTTAAATTCTAATAAAGATCCTAAGAACCCGAATCCTCATAACCACATGCACATAACCCATATTAGTGTTACCAGACTGAAGAGGCTCACCACCTGGGGTGTTCCATTCAAGAACAAGATATGGTCTTCATCAGGTAGGTTTATTCACTTGCCACAAGTAAAGGAGATGGGGATTCACATCCAAAACTCTATCTCCTTCAAGGGAAGCTTCACCATTTCTTATATATACTATTTGGTTAGTTACATATTGATTTCTCCTTGCAGTTGGCTACATTTATCTTGTTGAGTTCCTTGTCAAGCTCATCCTGTTTATAGCTGCATCTGTAAAATTCTGTGCTACATTTTAACATTTAGCAAGAACAGCATTTAGTAAGAACTGCCCAGACCCTGAGAGCCTGTCCTTGAGACCCTTGCCCTACTCAACACTAACATTTCTGTGTGGGATTCTAAACCAGAAAACATAATGAGAAATGATCAGGGTCCAAAACCTTCCTTATCTTCATAGTTGGTTGGTTGTACCTCTATTTTAACCCTTAAAATAGTGGTTTGTTTTATAGTTAATTGTAGGACACATCTGTCCCCAACTCAATTGTAATTTCCTTGAAAATAAATGGTTTCTTTTTCATCTTTGTATTGCTTAAATTGCTCTGATTATAAAAAGTCCTCAAATAAATAATTATTCAGCAAATGAAACATCACTGGAGGCAAAAATGACAAACTGTTCTACTTTGGGCACATCATGAAAAGGCAGGGTTCTTTGGATAAGACAATAATGCTGGGGAAAATAGAGAGCAACAGGAAAAGAGGAAGACCAAATATGAAATGGATTGACTTCATAAAAGAAGCCATAGGCATTAATCTACAGGAGCCGAACAGGACGTCATGGACACGAGTCATTCACAGAGTTGCCAAGAGTCAGAGCCAGTTCAATGGTACATAAGGTATGTAACACATAGAAATATTTATTGAGACTGACAGAACTTTCCTAAGGTACAAAGGCTACACAGATAAATAAAACACCTCTGTCTGGAGGGACCTCTGTCTAGTGTGAGTGACCAACACGTAAACAGATAGTCACAGTGCAGGTGGCTTGGAAGTACATGGGAGGGACCGGGAACTCAGTGTTGGTGGGACAGGGATGTCTTCCCAGAAGTGACATCTACAAATAGAAGTAAAAGATGAATTGTGGTTAGCTAGGCAAGAGACTGATGATATATGGTGACCAGTCACATTTGCCTTCTGGGGCCAGAGAGCAGGATAGGATTGTCTAGGGGTGGCTAACGTTTCTTCCTATAATCTTTGTCTTTGAGGGCCTTCAGCAATCTGTCCACTTCACCTCGCTGTAGTTCCCTGCCCAGGAGAAAGCAGGAAGCTGGAAACCCTATCGTGTTTGCTCGCTTGAGAACAGGAAATTTTCCCAATAAGATTACTGGTTTTTTTGGTTTTTTGTTTTTTTCCCCCTGATCATAAAAGTAACATTGAGTAGGGAGCATTTGAGATCTTGTTTCTCGTTCCCTGGCATATGTCATTGGTTTCTGCTCAAACTCTTAAAAAACTCGGGGGAGGGGGGAAAAAAAAAGTAACACCGAGTAAAGATTTCCAGACAATACAGAAAGTTTTAAAGCTCCCCACAATCCCACTACTAGAGCCAACTGTGGTTAAGGAGAATATCTTCCCAGACTCTTTATGAATAGACCCACACATGGATTTCTTCCAACAAACAGCGGGGTGTGGTTTAGGGTCTTGCCTGCACTCTGAGAGCTCTCATTGATCAGAACTGCAGCTTTGGGTGGAACCTGTCCTCACTTTCTCAATGAATAAGAGGGTGGTCAGCTGTGCTTTCTCTTCTAGGGCTTACTGGCATGATTTGGTGGCTGTGGAGTCAGTGCATGCCCAGAAAAGTCAGTCTGGGTCAGAGAATGACATGCTAGGGTACTCTCCTATATTCCTTTTCTAGTCTCTTCTCTGCATGCTATGTGGGGAAAATATTTTTTGTTTGTTTGTTCCAACCCACCCAGCTTTGAGAGTAAAAAGACTCATCAAGCCCCACATAACTTTATGCAAACCAAGTGCAATAAGTTCTTGAGCTCTATACTATTCTTAGAGCTCTATATGTGGTATTCTATGAAGCTGGATTTTTGCTGAGGGGAAGGCAGGTTTAATGACTGATAGCTGCCTTGGATGGCTACCAAAAGTACTCTAAGCCATTCCAAGCAACAGGCCTTCCTTTTTTCCCTTGAGAGAGTGTTCTGTGATCCCTGAATACATTGCGTTGGTCTGGATAAAATCCAGTGAAACAGGAATTTCTGTGAACAATTCTGCAATGACCCACAGCTCGAGGTGACATTGCCAGCTGGGGCTGCTCCAGCTCTGATTTTTGTGGCACAGGAGAACTCCCTCCACCCTTTGCACTGACCTCTCATTGCTATGAGACATTCAGAAGTACTCGTAAAGCATTCTTCAATTCTCCAAACTTATAACCATAGGAAGATCCCTGCAAAGGAACTTAATCCAAAAGACAAGGGACAGCTGACAACTGATCCTGCTCACTTGGATAGTGGGTGTGGCCACAGTCAAGGCCAAGAGCAGTGGGGGAGGGGAACTTTCTAGAGGGTGCCGATTACAGAGGACATGATCGTGAGCATTTATTACATGTCTGGTAGTATTTATTGTGCAACAAAGCCCTTGTGACAGATGCCATGCCACTTCTAAATCACCTCTCATTTCTTATGACCGCACTTCCTGAAAAGCTCCTCCTGAAGCAGCAAACGCTGATCCCTCCTGTGTGCTGGCCAATGCTAGAACCACAGGAGTTCACGAGAGAACCAGGAGAGGGGGCTATAAATAATAGCAACCCTTTCGTGAACGCTTGCTTTGTGTCAGATGCCGTGCTGAGGGCTTTACGTGGATCCTGGCAGTTAATCTTCAGGATAAATGTGGCTATCCCCATTTTCCAAATAGGGAAACTGTGGCACTGAAGGGCTGACTAATTTGTCCCAGGTCACTGCAGGTAATAACCTTGCAGTTGAACCCAGGCAGCCAGCCTCCAGAGTAAATGCTTCTCCATGCTGCTGTGTTGCCCTCTGAGATGTGTGTCCTAAAGACTCCACAATGCCTCTGGGGAGACAGGCAGCCTCCC